GGTATCGAGAGACACGTGAGGATAACATGATGAGGTAAGAGGTTACAAGAAGTGATACAACTTAAATTTGACGCCATGCAGATAATAAAATATTATTATATTACCGGCGGCAATCGATAAAATACATAGCAATTTTTTTTCTATTTTTTTTTCTTATAATCTCTTATTTTTTTTCTTATAATTTCTTATAATCTTATTATGTTATCCTAATAACTTTTACGATTTTCGAAGATATCGAGAGACACGTATCCCAACTCTCTTCCGCTGGGTCAATAAAATTAATAATGACATCTCGTGATAAACGTTGCAGCCGTACAAAGGCGACGATGATGATGTTTCTTATAGTAAAAATTTCCAAATCGGACTTTGCATAGCAATATCTCTGCTTGTAGGGCACGTAGCAGAAAAATAAAAATACTTTTATTATCAAGTCGGACTCAAGCTACTACAAGTCGATCAAGCCTACTTAGAACTTGATCGGTTTAACCGTTATTGAGATTCGATAATTTCAGATGCTCGAACCTCGACGATTCGCATAAAGTCACACGGCAGTGTTTTCAGTTGATCTTGACTTGACACCCGTGACTACCGTGTCTCCTGATATCTATAAAATCCATTTTACAAAAATTGCTTGCTTTACCTAATTTCTTAGAACAAATTTTAAATTACATGCAAAACTTATCAATGGAATCGAATAGTATTTCAAATATTATTCAAGCTGAATCTCGTATAAAAACTTACAAAAAAAATATTCTGATAGAATAATTATTCCTTTTATATTTTATTATGATGAATTTAAAGTGAATGATCCACTTAACTTTCGGAGCACGCTTTTCTTACAAGATTAAAAATAGGCATAAAACGTCTTTTTGCTGTCACCGTCGCACTCCGCCTGATGTTCGATGGTTCCCGAATGGTCGGTCGGGAGAAAATTCGGAATGGGAACGGAGCGGAGAGATGCGCTCCGTTATATTAATAATCATGTGTATATTATAGCGGTAATATTTTCTTTTTATTTCGATGTACATTACATGCATCCAGACATTAACGAATTCAATAATCATAATAAACGGATATCGAGATACAATGTGTCAGATGGGAGAAATCTAACTTCAAGTAGGAAGACATCAATAATGCTTAACATTCCGTAAAAAATTGTTCATATTAGAACATAGAAATATATATAAATGTGTATAAATATTTATAATTGTATACGAAATATATCCATGTTTTATATACTGTTGTAGCCAGATCTACAACCAATAATAAAAGTAGTCCGCATGGCAACAGAAATAGTCCGCATGAATCTCGAAAAGTCTTTCGAAAGACGACACAAATGTGTGACCGCCGAAATTGCGACCAGTCTTTCGAAAGACTGCAGAAATGCATCACGCGAGAACATTGCGAAAAGCCTATCAGCAAATTTCTAAATTTGATGATCAAACCGAGCGTAATATTGATCAATCAATATCACGCAACCGGAATCGGAATGCTGATCGGGCATCGATCAGACTATATAACCGGTTACACAAGGCGGAGTCGCCAGAGTCAAGAATAACGTGTCGTTCGGAATCATTATTATAAACATCGTGCAAGATATTACAAAAGTGCGGCTAAGTTCACGCGAGCGACTCAAGTGACATACTCGGTCGTCGGCCGCGATACGCGCCGAGCCGCCCGCCGACGTTTAACCGTGTGTAAAGTAATAAAATAAGAAATACTAATTTCAAGAATTTGTGCATTTATTAAATAAACCAATTAAAATAAAGAAAGTGTGTTAGTGTTAGTGTGTGTTAGAATTCAAGAAGGTCCTTACTCTTTTGATCCTGCTCGGAGTCCCAACTCCTTAGGCTTAACGAACCCGACTATTCCTAATATTATCGTTGTAGCCCATCCGGGGTACAATACATTTCTTTTTAATGTATATTTCGTATAACAGATTAATAATAATAAGAAAACATAAAAAATAATTGAAAGGATAATTTTCACATTATTTCTTTTATAAAAAGTTAAGTTTAAAGATATGAGAGAAAATTATCTATATATAATATTAAAATATTTATACTGATCAGGAGACGTAATGTCTCGGATGTCAAGTCAACCGAATGCTACCGTGTGACTTTACGCGAGTCGACGGGATGTGAGCAAAACTATCGAATCTCAATAACCGATAAACCGATCAATTTCTAAGTAGGCTCAATCGATAACTTAAGTTCGACTTGTGTAATAAAAATATTTTTATTTTTCTGCTACGTGCTCTACGAGCGGAGATATTGCTGCGCAAAGTCCGATTTGAAAATTTTTACTTAAAAAACGTCGTCGTCGTCGTCGTTGTCGTCGTCGTCTCTCATGCACGGTTGCAATTTCTGTCGTGAGAGGCGCTCTAATGTACACCTGTCAATGATTCGCTGGGTCTTACAGTGACCCTGACTTATCGGCCTGATTTATCCACAGAGTCAAGATTTTCAAAATCATTGAAAGATTTGCACTGACAGTTTACACTGTTCACGTATATCTTTCCGCACAGCATGTAATATTGCTGAAATATCGCAATAATATTGCAATATTGCAATAATATTATCGTAATATTGTAATATTTTTGCGCTATAGCTGCAATATAGTAATGTGATATATCTCATCGCAATTTTTCTACAATATTACAATAATATTACGGTGAGATATATCACAATGCATATTTCGAAAATATTACAGTGTGATATATCTTACTGTAATATTACCGTAATATTGTTGAAAGATTGCGATAGATTGAAATATATCGCATTGCTATATATATATGCTATATGCTATATTGTCGCAATATTGCGATAATATTGCATTGTGATTTATCTCACTGTAATATGTTCGAAATATTGCAGCATTATCGCGATAAATTTAATTGTAATAGATTGCTGAAATTCATTTATTAATCGATATACAAAATTTCACTTTCATTTAAAGAAATTCCAATTGTATATGTAATAATAGATAAAAAATTTATCATTTTATTAATCAATAT